CTTTTGATAAACCAAGAGCAAGAAAATAATGATAAAAAACAACAAAATAACATCATAAAATATGGAGCTGTTAATTGTCTGAGACTTGCTGCTTGAATATTTATGTTTGTTCTCCTTTTCATGACCCTTTTTTGCAGCTCTCTTAGGCAAGGAATTAGCACTGAAGAGTAGAGAATTGAACACTTCTCTTTAAAAGGGATTTTAGTCGTCATTATTCTGTTATTTGCTGCCATATCATTAAAGTAGACATTACACATAGGACTGCATGTTTTCTTAGACGCTCTTTTTAGTCACGTAAGCTCTTATGAATAATGTAATAATGTACAAAATCTCAATGCCACCACAGATACTGTCTTCAGAACTACCATACTCTGCACGCAGAAATTACCTTTAAGATGAAAACTTGCTAACGTTTTCTGATGGCCAGGTTTCTCTGACAGGTATCTGCCATCATCGTTGACAGACCAAAAATACATTCTAACATCTGCTTTGGGAAAAACCTGATTGCCTGCCTATATGCGCATTTTTTAACGGATTGTTTCAATGCAAGGCCTATGCGGTCACTTGTCGGCATGGAACTAGAAATATGTGAGAAACGTGTCAAGAGATGGCGGTTAACGTTTGATTTGAAAGCCTGTAGATTGTAGGTTGGTGGGAAACACTTGTCAGGGAGGGGATTCCAAAGCTTGGCCGTACGGGGAAAGAAACTGACACTGTAAAAAGATTTCGAAGAAGGGATTTGGACGGTGAAGTTGTGTGAGCTAGTGGAGAACCTAGTGGAACGCTTAAAAGTTCTGAGTGGTGGAACTAGTTGGGTGAGTTCTGCAGAGCAATGACCATGAAAATATCTGTAAAAGAGGGAACGGAGAGAGGCAACATTTCGTCTACAGTGACTAAGTTTAAAAAGCTCTCTTCACTGCAAATTTTACCATTTATGTTTGTCCACAAGTAGAAACGTACCTTTTTAGTGAGTCAGACTAGCTTCAGTTGACACTGGCAAGGACTCGGGCGCAGCTCGCTGTAACAGTTGTTCTTGTAGGGTGCGTCTGCCTCCTTTGGTAGCTGATCCGTAATGCCGTGTGACAAACACCCAGGGGTACATAAATATATAGCCTTACGTAGGAGTTAATGGTCTCAAGCTGGCTATTTGAATGACATTAATATTTATGACCATGTTTAAAATTCCATGATGCAGTATCAAGATGTATGTTTACTTGTCTTCATACTAGAATTTAATAAAAAAAACAAGGAACAGATTTCTAAGATTTGGTTGAGAAAGACAAGCATATCAAATTATGGCATAAAAGTAAGTTGCAATGTGGATTTTTAAATAAGTATATATAATTATGCAATAGCAAACGTGTTATGCGTTTTTTTTTTCATTTGTCATAACCAACAGTGCGTGGGAGCCTTATGTTTGAGGAGCGGCCTTGTCAGAACGCGCGTGGGAGCTGATCTAAGGATTATTCTCCTCCTTAAGTGTCTCCTGAAGTGTGCAAGGACGTTATATAGTCCTTGTATGCACTATAAATGTCCTTGAGGTGTTAGAAACTAAAGTCGAAGTGGACACTACAATCTGTGACATAACCACCATTATTTAATTGTAATTATTTAAGACAATTTGTACAATTCATCAGTGCATCAGTTTATGTATATATATATAATGCTTCACAGTGTTTTACGAAATGTAGCTTTCTTGCATGCAAACTCAAAAGAAAGTCATAACTTTTTTTTTCCTCTTTTATTCTTTTTTGACACTTCTGTGATTTCGTGCTATGTACCTTTTTATTATATACATAAAAGATTGCAATATATTCAATTTAAAAGTCTTACTACTGGTTAAAATTGCATTCATCAAATTGCAACACACCTTACCAATAAGATACGAAACCTGTACATATCATACAATCATATGTACACAATGGCAGTTGGTTAGTTATCATAATCATATCCTGGCATATTTGCAAACTTTAAGGTAATTCTCTTTCAATTCAGTGCATGTGTACAATGTTGATTTCTTCTTAATGTTGTCTATTAAATGTCATTGATTGAGGGATGCAAATTCAATGAGTTTCAAATTAAGATCAAGTCAACTTTGCTATTCTATCATCCGCCAACCCGTTGGCATTACTTACAGATGTGCTAAGGGCTTCCATAACGCTCCCAACACTGTTCAACCATTTTTGCGACTTAATGTTGTGTCTGCAAAAGGATGGCAGATTAGTGCATTAAAAATGTGCTTTTATGTTAGGCCATGTTGATTTGATTATATGGATGACATCCGCGCGCGCATGAATTTTCGGCCGTTTCCAAAAAAAAAGTTTCAACCATACTGTAAATCGTGCAAAACAGTTGCTTAATGAGCAAAAATATACCATAAGTTGCAAGGAAAACATTTAGAAACGATACCAATGTCGTAGAATGCCAAAATCAAAGGAAAAAAAACAAAAATGTAAAGAAATGAATTCGAAGAGTAGATTATTCGCCATAACATATTCTGTGCCATTTGTTCAACCTTCATGACCACGTAGATTTCATAGTGAAAGCAACTTTTTTTTTTTTGCAAAACTTTTTTTTATTCGCACGCGCGCATCAGTTTTGGGGTTGCCAGAGGATGTCATCCATATAATCAAATCAACATGGCCTTATGTATTACCGTAAGGAATGTTACAATTGAAAAAAAAAACCTTAATTGTTAATGGTACGGTCCGAGCCTGCGCGCATGCGCACGGGGCACTCGGTACCAGGAAAGAAGAATAAAAGGCGGTTGCCCCCTGAGTGTCCCTCCGAAATTGTCTAGGAGATGCTCCTGTGTCCATCATAACTGCTGGGAATGCTGTGTTAGAAGGGTAACAAATTGGAGGTTCCACCGAGATCAAAATTTCCGCAGCTCCTTGGCAGGGGGAAAGTGGGTGTCGGAATTTTGGCGCCAAAACGATCACGTGACAGAAGGTTAGAGGTCAATTTCTTGTAAACAAACAAGATGGCGGCGCCCATCAGACGGAGCTAGTAAGGGGGAGAGCAGCCGTAGTTGTTGGTGTTGAACGAGTGTCGGTAGTACAAGTATGGCGGAAGGGACAAGCCCAGTTGATCTACTCTACTCCAGGTGAAATGATCAAGACGCCAGGGTTCGCGTCGCAGGGAGCAACGACTCAGAACACAGTTGATATGACCCAGACTGGCCAGACAACAGTTGAAACAAGTCAGGGCATAGTTAAAACGACCCAGACGCCAGAGTTGGCAATGCAAGACTTGGTGAAGGCAACCACACATTTAACCCTAAACAGAACACCTGGGGTCTGCGCGGACCCCAGCACTATATATTCTGTAATATCTTTTTTGTTTCTAAAGATTTTTTTCAGAAATTTTAGGTAATTGTCACCCATAAAGTTGTCTCTCAATACAGTGCAGAAAACTCCGTTTCCACCATTTATAAAAAAAATTATATCTGATTTTCTTTTGGGGTCCGCGCGGACCCCAGCCGGCTTTCGATCATAATGGGTACACTGGCGTTCTTATACATTACCTTATTTCCGTTTTTATATGTTTTTATGCACTCATCGTATGTCTACCAAGTTTTCAGAGAATGGTGCAGTAATAGAATTAAATTTTAATAACTTTGGTGTAATTATGACGTCATATGACGTCAGAGCTAATGATATAGTCCGCCATATTGGATTTTGACCAATGACGTCATCAAATTAGCATATTCTATGCATATTAAATGATTTAACTTATATTTAAAACGACAAACGACAACCAACAAGCCCACTGTTGATTGACCTGGTGCCTAAGAGTAGGAAACTAGTGACAATTGAAAAGGTTATCCTAATAGTTTACAACACCGTCAAGGCCATTTAATAGAAGGGAGTACATCATATGTTGTACTTCTAAGTTTTCTTAGTTTAATAGCCAAGTTATTCATGATCTTCCTGAATTTCCTGAAAGTTCCACACACACACATACCAAATGTGAGTAGGTGTAAGAGAACAACTATGTTCAGGATAGCGCCGCCCCCCCCCCTTACATCTCTTTAAATAAGTAAGTCAAAAAATGCCGTCAGTAGCCAGTACCATTTGCCGGGCTTATTCCTTCATTGCATTGACAGGAAGGACTTGGTGCAGCACGTCCTCAGAGAGTGCACCAGCAGCAAGGAATGCTGCCCTATCCCTGGGTGTGGCAGGATAGAAAATGACCTCGTTGGCCACGACAGGTTCTATGGAGGAATCCACACCTTTCTGCTGCTACAGGTATGTTCCCTCCTATGCCACCTTTTTACCTCCATGACATATGGAGTTATTGTTTTGACGTGTCTGTCTGTGTTTCCGCAAATTTGTGATCAGCATAACTTTCAAACACCTTTATGGATTGTGATGATATTTGTAGGTAGGCCTTAGGGAGAAAAAGGTCAAGGTCAAGTATCACCTTGCTACTGCAGCAGAACTTCCGGTTTTTGTATCTTTTCCCATGGTCTTGATTTTTTGGTGGCAGATAGCGTTTTCTGTCAGGAATAAGTGGTGTGGGTATGGACTCCTAGCAGCTTATGCTGGAACTGCAAGGGGGTTTCTGACAAATCTTTCAGAGCAGATAAATCCAAAAAGGAACAATGTATCCTTTCTTAAATTTTTTAAAAAGAATTTAAATCAATGCAACAGTTGACCAAAGACATTAAATATTATTGTCGTTGAGTTGACATATAACAACTCAATCTTTAACTTTACATGGTATTACAACAGGGACATACATGAACATGTTAAGCTAAAAAAAACATATGTTCAAGAAATAGTAAATACCAACAGTACATACTGGTATGTTATGCAATATAGTACAAGTATAACTAAAGTAACACTTATCGTAAAAGTAGGGACCAAGTCGATAGTCATTCTCACATTAAGAAAGCGTTCTAATGAAAACTAGTTCATTAAACATAGGATTTTGGAATGTTCACAGACAAAACATATGGATTTTGGAATGTTCACAGACAAAACACCTTTCAGAACATGGAAAGGTCAAGAAAGAAAAGAAAAACATGGGACCCCAAATTAATTGAAGAAGCGTTGGAAGACGTACGTAAGAACAACTTAACACCAACACAGGCTGCCAGGAAGCATGGCATTCCTCGTACAACCCTGAATGACAAGATCTCGGGCAAGGGTAGGGTAGACGCACGGAATGGAAGACGAGCTATCCTATCTAAGGAAGAAGAGGCCAGCCTTGTCTTCTACATAAAGTATCGGGTCGACAGGGGATTTCCTATCAACAAGAAGTCAATACTGTCCTTAGCATTAGCCATACACGTGCGAGGCAGCAAAGAAGCTGGAGTCCCTCCCAAGGTAAATCGTAAAAAGGGATTCTCCCAGAAATGGTGGCGAGCGTTCAAAGGTCGTAACAAGTTGACCCTAAGGAAGCCTTCCCCTCTCGACCGAGGCAGGAGGGATTCTGTTGATGGGGACGTGGTGAAGCAGTTTTTCACCTTGCTGAAGTCAACGCTGAGCGACAATGGGCTGTCAGACCAGCCACACAGGGTATATAACGTAGATGAGACAGGATTCGATCTAGACCCCCAAAAGAAGAGTGTCGAAACCTTCTCTAAAATGGGTGCTCCAGCAGTGTCTGTGCGAAAAGGCACTCGTGAACACATTTCTTCCATGGAGTGCGTCTCTGCTGACGGTTCGGCATTGCCACCGTTAGTAATATTCTCTAAGTCCTATCCAAGCTCTGCGTACAAACTTGAGGGGCCCACCAACGCCCTGTACTCTACAACACAGTCTGGTTTCATTGAAGGCGAAGTATTCGTAGAGTGGATGAAAAAATGTTTTTGCCGATTTGCGTCCCAGGAGAGACCAGTGCTTCTCCTGATGGACCAGCACGCAGCGCACCTGACAGCCAACGCTATCGACACTGCTCTAGCTAATGACGTCATCCTGATGGGTCTTCCTCCGCACACTAGCCACTTCTTGCAGTCCCTCGACGCCCAAGGTGGACCGTTCAGCAAAATGAAAAGCACCTTCGAGGACGTGGTCAACGAGATGAGGCTCGTTCGTCCCAATTTCTTCATGACCAAATCTGTATTCCCCAAGGTGTACAGGGTAGTCAGAGAAAAAAGCCTGAGCATGTCTGTCATCAAAACCGGCTTCGAGAAAACAGGAGTGTTCCCTGTCAACGAGTCGAAGGTCGATAGCCGCTGGCTAACACTAAACAGCCAGCCGGAGTCCCATGACGATGACAACGAGGAAGCTGGTGCAGAAGACGTCGATGAAGAAGAGCCAGTCAACCCTTTCGTAAAGGTAGGTATTGTACTCGCATACGTAGCCGACCTCTAACCCCCATCCAAGACACCAGTCAGCGGAGAGTGAGAAGGGTAAGATCGAGAGCCATTGTGTTCGATGAAAAGTATGTAGATGATCTGAGAAAAGAAGCAGAAGAGAAAGAGGAAAGGAAGGTGAAAGAACAGATGAAGAGGAAAGAAGAGAGGGAAGAGAAACAAGTGCTTTTGAAAAAAGCTGGCATTTCGGCCTGCTATCACTGCCACATGTTGTATGCCACTGTGTGTCTGGTTGTGCCACTTGAAACCGGCTTTGGGGTAAATCGCATGTAAAGCGCCTTCACTGACTTCACATGAACACGGCCTTTGTTTGAGCTGACCTGTAACACACGCTGATAGATGTACGTGTCTGGTGCTTTCACCAGAAACATTTTGTGAATAGGTTACCTGATATCTCTTTATATCTTATTGCTGATATGACTTTTAGAATTGTATTTTATCATGTATTATGAATTTTATACTTGGATTTTAAAGGCGGACCTGTAAGCAATGACGCAATTTAGGTGTTGATTTTATATTGTACCTGCTATGTCATTGGTAATAAAATCTGAATATCTGAATCTCAATAGTCAGACCATGAATGTTACCAATATCTGCTTGGAGATTAGTAGCGTTATCAAATTAAGTGTTTAGTACATGTACAGGTACAGGCTGAGTCAACCATCCAGCATGGACTGAAACGGGACCATGTTGTTTCAAATCGTTCTGTCGCTATTGATTTGAAAATTTATAGAATTTCGCTATCACTGTTACATGTACATGTTGTAAATCCTACATTGTATATGTTACCATGCAGTTGTTTGGAGATAACTTTATAGATATGATACCATATATCTGCTTGGAGATGACCATACATACATCACCCGACATCTGCTTGGAGATGACTTGGTATACGTCACTGTACATCTACTTGGAGATAATGTTGTAAATATGCCACTCAAGACATGAATAGGCTAGGGAGATGTAGAGTAGATTATTTTAATTTGACTTTTGTTTTAATGTCCCAGTGCTGAGAGGGATAATATGATAAAGAAATAAGCCGGAATCTGCCATTTTTGCTAACTTTATAGCATAATAATAAAACTGCATCTTGTGATTATTTTCCTTAATTTTAGAAAATAAAAGAAATGGGTATAAGTGACAATGAACTAGTATAACAACTTTATTTCTGAACTTTGCCCATGCACAAATGATAGATATATAACTTGTGCGTCTATTCTACAACAAAATACATTTTTTGCTCATGAACAAATGATACATAGAACTTGCGTGTCTATTCTACAACGAAACATAGAACTTGCGTGTCTATTCTACAACGAAATACTTACTTTGTCTATGCACGAATGTATAACTCGCGTGTCTGTTCTACAACGAAATACTTATTTTGTCCATGCGCGAATGTATAACTCGCGTGTCTGTTCTACAACGAAATACGTTATTTTGTCCATGCGCGAATGTATAACTCGCGTGTCTGTTCTACACGAAATACGTTATTTTGTCCATGCGCGAATGTATAACTCGCGTGTCTGTTCTACAACGAAATACTTATTTTGTCCAATGCGCCGAAATGTATAAATCGCGTGTCTGTTATACAACGAAATACTTATTTTGCTCATGAACAAATGATACATAGAACTTGCGTGTCTACAACGAAAAAGTTATTTTGTCCATGCCCAAATGTATAACTTGCGCGTCTATTCTACAACAAAATACATTCTGCACGGCGGCAGTAGGTAAATTTTTATGAGTGCAATAGCACAGTGCACAGCGGCAGTGGTTGTATTGGTAATGAGTACACGGCTCTGGTTATGCAGCAAAGGGTAATCCAGGACAGACCTGAAAGAGAGGGAAAATAATTTATTGTGTCAGCATAACATCCAATTGAGCATATGCATATTGAATACTCCTTGCTATAAGCACATGGGAAGTCTTTTCTTCATAAAGAAGTTTGAGTTTCATTGACGGCATTGGTGGAAAAATTCTAATTATGCTCATGCAAATGTACCTTCTGAATTGCAACCGCTTCGAATATAAGGAAAATTTGCAAGTGAATTGGATTATTTTAAAGCACGGAATCATTCCTTCAATATGGCGGCCTATGAAAACCCTAGTATTAGGCCTGGGTAAAATGTTGTGTTCCTGTTTCAGTATGTTGACCTTTATGATTTAATATTCCTGCTCTCTGCAGGTGCCATGTTGAAAATATCTTGTCGATTGCCGGGGGAAAATGGAATTTGGGGCAAACATTCATAAATTTTAAGAACTTAGAACATCAGATGCATGTATCAGATGATGATGTTGTTGTTGTTGTTGTATCGGTCGTCTTTTTGTAAATGTTGCCGTAATCTTTGCACAGAAAAAACTGGCCATGTGTCCCAGAAAATTATCAGACGATTGGACACAAAAAAAAGGCTAGAGTCTGCAGTTTTTCTAGGGTCGGTCGGGAAACAGGGAACATTTTTCCCAGGCCTTACCGGTATACAGAACGTGCATATGTGCTCCCCTCGATCCCCATACGTATACTTAAGCTAAAATTTCTAAGAAACAGAACGAAATAAACTGAATACGACACGACAAAAGCACTGGAGAGAAGACACTTAAAATTGACAAACATTTGCTGGCATTAAAGCAAGAAACTTAGCCAAGCATGCACTGGGTCATACGAAAAGGGTATAGATAATTTTGTTTCACGTTCAGAGGAGAGGGGAGGGGGGGGGCAGAAGCCTTACACGGAAAAATCGATGCAACAGTCAAAGAAAGCACGATGTCATTGATTGTCCATGTCCTTAGTCTTTTAAGCTATACTGTTTTGCTGTGACCCTATGCCTAATACGCTTATAACTGCTGATATTGTGGATCGTGTAAAGGTAAAACCAACCTAAATGTCCGCCATGGCCGCCCAGCACTGGTATGACGTTACATCCGGGACCCGGTATGTACACTCACTCCCTCTTGCGATTTGAAGCAGTAACGCAGTGTGCACCTGGTATGTACCAGTACACTCACTCCCTCTTGCGATTTGAAGCAGTAACGCAGTGTTCGCCCGCCCATGGATCCATGGATGCATCCATCCATCCACCCATTCACCGCATTTAATTTCCGCCTTACTCCATGGAAAAACGGAAGAAAATTGAAGAAATGGAGAGGAAGCGAGAGGAAAGGCTACAGAAGAAGAGACAGCAGCGGAAGGAGATTGAAGACATCGAGAGGAAGCGAAAGGAAAGGCTACAGAAGAAGAGACAGCAGCGGAAGGAGATTGAAGAAATGGAGCCAACCGCAGGAACATCGGCGTCGGTAAGAAATTGAATACTGTAGTATCTATCATATTTGTGATATTAATCAGTTGCATGCATATTGTTAAACAGCTTTTTATCAATCTAATGAACATAGATATTGCATCTCCCAAATTTTGCCTTGACATCTAGTTTATATTACTGTAATTATGAGTCCTACCTTGTTTTCTTAGAGCGTCGGTCCAGAAGGACAGTCTGAAGACAGTGAAGTGTCTCGACCCCGCCGTGCAGCCAAGAGGCCACTTTGGATGATCGACTTCACAACAGAGGTTCGTATAAACAAATAATTGCGCACATAATTGGCATTCGTTGTGTTTTGTTTTATTTTGTTTTAAGCACTGTTCTACAGTACCAATTGCAATCTAACTATCCTCTCGATTTCTATCTACAGGATGATGACTGAACAGTGGTACATGGTGCAGGCTGACGGGGCTGTTTGCGTGACGATGAAAGTTTAGCATAGAAATATGACCCAGAACTGACGTATTTATAATACAAGAGAAAAGTGAAACTACTGATGATTCTTTGATTCTAAGATTCTAGTTCAACTTTGACAACATAGTATCCGCGTTTGACGTAGATGTCAGCTAACGTCACACGAAGGCGTTCCGGCCTCCCCCCGCAGCTCTCCATCACCAGCTTCTTGAGTTTCTCCGGGATCCACCCGACCCTCACCCAGCTCCCTTGGATGTTTGCAGACATCATGATGCCGGCAAAGGGGGCGCCCGGACGATGGTATCGTTCCACCTTCAGTGCGGCGTCGCTGGATTCCATCAGTTTTTCCGCACCACTCGCGTAGTGAAACGTCTGCAGGGTCACTCTCTGTAAACCAAATGAAATTCGAATGCTATTTTGAATTCTTAATACTGTTAGATCCCGTTCTTGAGTAGTAGTTCTTGAGAGTAATGAGTTTGCCAAGAGAGATGTCATTGTCGGATCGTAAAAACAGCTATTGTATCTAAATATCGTTGTATTTGAACGTGGTATATTCTGTCTTTTCTTGTCTCTTTTTAAAGAGAGGAAATAAAGGAACTTACCATTCTGATGTCCTTGATTCTTGGTCAAAGCAGGTGTTTTCTGTCACGACCTCAGTCGGCGGGAAAAGTACTCGTCGCTGGACTATACCATTACCAAGTAGGATGGCTATGCTATGTTTTACGTGTTCATCTTAAATAACTTTCTTTTTGTTAGATGATATAACAATGAACAGCAAACTAATAGCCAGCTTCGAAGTTTTAATACATGTGGCAACCTCTATAGCATCCGCTGTGCCTCCGCATTTTAGCGTCCCCCATTCTTGAAGTGGAGACATCCAAATATAACGGTCCCCCGACGATACCACTATAAAATTAGGAGATGCCCGTGGAGAATGTGAAGTATAGTGTACGAAATTCACAGAAATGTTTGATAACCAATAAAAGAAACCATGCAATTCTATAATAGAAATTGACACTTCATTTTATTGCAAAAAATACAAGCATCGTGGTTCACCGTGATGTCAGCTAGCTTAATTTGCACCCCTTCACATTAAAAGAAACTCCCCAACGACACCAATAGACTTTGCATGGGTGAAGCATCATCGCCAACAAACTTTATCTGAAGAAGTATCACATTTTACTTGATAAGAATTGAAAATCTGTAGTTGTATGTTATATTTGTAATTCTTGCATAGTTGGATCGAACATTGTCGTCATTGATACTCACAGGGGAGCTGCTCCAAGCTGCATCATTCCCCCCGCATTATAGACCCGCCGAGTCAACTTTGACCCACAAGTGCGTGCAGGGTGGTAACCACGCGCTGGACGGCGATTCTGAGAAGTCTTCCCGATTTTTCGGTATACGTATCAAACCAACATTCATACTACTTACACTAACAACGTTATGTGAACGGAGACATGATGGAACGTCAGAACTAAAGTTTACGTCATAGCTGTCGTACCAAGCCACGGATACAACGGACGTTTTCAACACTGTACAATTGTTTAGCCGTGATTTTTTTGTATCGTAAGACATCTTTGTATTTCAGGCACTCACTACCCACTGGGGGAAAATAACTGATGTTGTCTAAAGGTAAATAATACAGAGAAAGTTATGGTGTGTATTTCCGTGACGGATAAAGGTTCATCTTCCTAGAACACGCCTGTCATGAGCGCGACTCGGCCTTGTGTGATTTAGTACGCAATTTTATTTATCAGCGGGATCGGGGAGACAGTAAAACATATTCTGCAAAAAGGACTAAGGTACTCCGTTGTGTCAACATATAACAGGACAAAAATACTGGTTCCTATTTTTAGAAATCGGCATCACATGACTGCCGCTGAGAAAATGTGACGGATAAAGGTTCAGGGGTGTTATATACCTCCATGCTTTTATCAGCTCACACTAAAGCCACTGTGACACTACATGTAGTACTGTAGTAGCATTGTCTTTCAAAAATTTCCCGCCTGTATTAGCGGACGTTTCATGTGCACAACACATCCCTTTGCAACAAGGAGTTCGGCAACAAAAGGCAACTGTCTTCGGGAACGTTCGGTTGAGCCTTTCCGGTTATGGTCGGAGCGCGACATTGCCGAAAGCGTTACCGAACGTTGCCGGACATTCCCGAGTAAATCCAAGATGGCCGCGCAGTTGAAAAATAGCGCAAAAAATTATGATTTGAATAAATTCCGCGCTGTGAGCTTTTTAGGGGGAAATGAACGTCGCCAACCGTTGGAGGAATC